TCACCCGATCGATTCCGAGCCGAGCCGTGGCAAACCCTCCGGGTCAGGGTGGGCCTGGGCTCCCTAGGGCTTCCAACGACCAGGCCTTTCTTCCGGGGTGGCTGAACCTCGGACCTTTGGGTGAGTAGCTGAGCGCACTAGCTGTGTGCAGCACTCACGGATTCAAGTTTGTTTGTTTTTTAAATCATTTTATTGGGGGCTCATACTTCCCTTATCACAACCCATACATACATCAATTGTGTAAAGCGCATTTTCGAGTTTTAAATAACAAAAACCCTCACTGCCGTGGAGATCAACCCAACTCACAGCGACCCTATGGGTCAGGGTAGAACTGCCTCTGCGTTTCGGAGACTCCGAGCCGCGCGGGGAGGGGCTACGTGGAGCGGAGGTGGGGCCTGGCGGGGGAGAAGGGCGTGGCCCCGTCGGGGGCGGGACTAAGTCCGCTGCCCCGCCCCCAGCTCTCCCTGGACCTCTTCTACACGGAGGACGAGCTCTATGAACTTTCTTACGCCAGGGAGCCCCGCTGCCCCAAGAGCCTGGTAAGTGGCCACCCACGGCCTCTGGCTTCCCCAGCTGCAGCCTGGACCCTGACTAACGGTGCCCTCTGTCCTGCCCCCACCCCAGCCACCATCCCCCTTCAAGCCACCCCTGGTGGTGGAGTGGGCGCCTGGGGTGACAGCCAAGCCGGACAGGGCCACCCTGGGCCAGCATGTGGAGCAGCTGGTGGAGGTGAGTGAGGACGGAGCGGGGAGGGGGGACTGCAGCTGCTGGAGGCCTGACGCTGGAGGAGTGGGTGCAGGGACGGCAGAGGCCAGACCTCCACAGCCTGGCCCCACTCCACCCTCCCATGCCCTTCGAAGTCTGTGTTCAAGAATTACGACCCTGAAGGCCGAGGGACCATCTCTCAGGAAGACTTTGAGCGACTGTCGGCCAGTTTCCCCTTCGCCTGCCATGGGCTGCACCCGCCACCCTGCCAAGGGTGAGCGATCCCCACTCCTGACCCCCAAACATGAAAGGATTGGAGAAGCCTAGCCAACTGGGCTCCGCTGGGCCAGAGGGGAGGGAGTCAGGGGCCCGGACTCCTGGGTCTGAGGGAAGAGGAGGTTGAAGGGGGTGCCTGGACTCCTGGGTGCAAGGGATGAGGGAGCAGGGGGCCTAGAGTCCTGGGTCTGAGGGACTCTGGATGTGAGGGAGTAGGGGCCAGAGGTCTGCACTCCTGAGTCTGAGGGAGGAGGCACCTGGGGACCTGAACTCCTAGGTCAGGGAGAAAGAAAGGGGTAAGCCCTGCTGAAGGGCCACCTCTGCCCACAGGCATGGCTCCTTCAGCAGAGAGGAGTTGACCAGCTACCTGCTCCGGGCCAGCACCATTTGCTCCAAGCTGGGCCTGGCCTTCCTGCACACCTTCCAGGAGGTCACCTTCCGCAAGCCCACCTTCTGCAGCTGCTGCAACAGCTTCGTGAGTACCTCATCTGCTCCTTCCTCTGGGGACCCTCTCCCCTGGGGGGCCCCAATGGCTCCCAGCCGGGGCCCGGAAAACCAGCCTTGCCCTGGAGTCTCCGGGCCCCACAGGGATTCCAGAACTCAGTTCTCCAGACTCAGAGAATCCACCCCCCATTTCCGGTCAGCCCCAACCCCTGGCTGGGCCCTTCAGCCTGGATCATCTCTCCAAACCCACCTTATCTAGAGCCCGGCCCAGCACATTACCAAACAACTCCAGAAAACACAAACTTGGGACCCTTTCTCTCCAAACTCCAGGGGTCCGAAGACTCAGGGTTATGGACAGATCTCGCCATGTCCAAACCATAAGCCTTTAACCGTGGGGAAACTGCCTTCATTCTCCAAAGGACCACCAAGCACCTAGTGTGTGCAAGGGGCTCTGGTGGCCCAGTAGGTTGTGTGGACCCACAAGGTGTACGGTGTGGACTCACAGGGAGCAAGAGGAGAGGGTCTGCTCCCTGGAAGATTCACAGCCTGGCTAACCTGCCGGGGCAGGTCTACCCTGTCCTGCAGCTCACTCGCTCAGAGCCAGGGTCCACTCGACGGCGGTGAGCTGCGCGCCACCACCGAGGTGCCAGGCCAAGTTCTCCACTCTGGAAACGCAAGGGGGAAATATGACATGTCCCCCCACTGTTTATGCCATCCACGCTGTGTTGGTTCCCAAATTCACTGGCCTCTGATCGCCTAGGTGGTCCCCCAAACCCAAGGTAACCCCCAATCATTTCCAAATCCTAGGTAACTCCCAAGAAGGGTATTGGGAAATCTCCCCAATTGGCACAGTTTCCAGAAAGGTGCACCCCCAGTCCATAGCCCTCCCTCCCCCAGCCCCAGTAACATCTTCTGCTTTCTCTTCCTAGCTCTGGGGGGTACCCAAGCAAGGCTACCGCTGCCGGGGTGAGTTGGGCGGCCGGTGGCAAGGGGAGGGGCTTGGAGGGCACAGATGGCTCACCACGGCCCCCCCTGCCCCCTGCAGACTGTGGGCTATGCTTCCACAAACACTGCAGAGACCATGTGAATGTGGAATGCAAGAAGAGGCCGGGGACCAAGGGTGATGGCTCCCCAGGAGCCCCTGTCCCACCCACGTCGGCCCCGTGCGCCAGCTCTGGTGAGACTCAGGGTGTGGCCGGCCCGGGAAGAAGGCCTGGTGAAGGTCCGGAGGCCCTTCCCCTCCTGACTCCCATGTCCCTTCCTTTCGTCACCCTGCCGACAGGCTCCGAGGACAATCTCCCAGACACCCTGGAATCTGAGGCTGAGGCACACCTTTGCCACGCTTGAACCCAGATGGAGCCCCCACCTCCTTCCTGGGGGCCAGAGATGGTGAGGAGGGGCTGCCCCCTGCCCCCAACTGGAAACAGGGACAACCAGGTCATTTCCCTGAGCAAACCTAGCTAAGGAGGAGCTGCACAATCAGTGGTGGAAAAGGAGGCAAGATGAATAGTCGCTGTCAGGCAAGAGAAGAAAATAAGTGCTCTTGGAGGAAGGCATCCTGGAAGCTTCAGATAAGGCAGTCTCAGTAGGAAAAAGGGGGTAGGTTTGGGGGTCCTGGTGGGGGCTGAATAACAGGGCTGATTGTGCGGGGGCAGGCACTGCCTTGCCTGCTCCTTGTAATCTCCATTGTAGACGAGGAGAGAGAGGCCAGGGGAGTAAATGCTGCTGGTCCCAGATGGCAGAACGCCTAAATGTTGGAGGCAGGGCTCACACCTAGGTCTTCTGTCAGCCTCTAAAAAGAGAAGCTCCTAATCCATATTCTTTTTTTTTTTTTAAGCTTCCAATAGTTTAATATTCTCAGTATTTTCCTTTAAAAAAATTAAATCATTTTATTGGGCCTAATCCATATTCTTAACTGGCCATCGGAATGCACCAGGGGGAAGACAAGAAGGCGGAGGGGGGAGCTCCAGACGGCTGGGTTCTAGAAAGGGAAAGGGGAGGTGGCCAGGAAGGGTTTGGGGATTCAGACCAGGTGTACGCCGAGTCAGGTGGCGCCCCTTCTCTGCTCAGAACCTTCCCAGGACACCCTCTCACTCGGGGGCCTGTGTTCCCTTTGACCCAAGAGGTCACCTCTCTAACCTCTCTTCTCCCTGCTAGCGGCTCCTCCAGCCTCCCGGGTCTCCCCTCCTCTGTGTCCCTTGCTCCTTGAATATCCTCCTGCCTCCAGGCCACCACACTGGCTGTCCCCTGTGCCTGGAGCTCCCCTTCCCCAGAACCCTACGGGCCCCCTCTTTAAGGTTTTGCTGATGGATCACTTTCTGGGTGAGGCCTCTCGGACCACACATCCAAAGCTGTGATCCCCCAACCACCCCATTCCCACCTCCTGCCTTTATTTTCCTCCAAGGAGCCCTGAGGGCTAAGTGGTTATGCATTGGGCTGCTAAGTGCATGGTTGGCAGTTCGAAACCACCAGCCCCTCTGAGGGAGAAAGACGAGGCTTTTCTCCTCCAGTAGAGTTACAGTCTGTGAAGCCCACAGGGCAGTGCCTCTCTGTCCTATGAGTCAGACTTGACTGGGTGGTGGGAAGTTGTTGACGTTATCCCCATCTGAAAGGTCATCCTCACCGGAAAGGTCAGCTCTCGGCCTGTCTCTGCCTCTTTTCTCTGCTGTATCTGCAGTGCTGGTCACAGCGCTGGCCGGCCTGGGACATCATGAAAGCCTCTTTCCCATGCCCACAGGAAGGAAGAGCCAAGGGCTTGGCGAGTCAGAGCAGCAGGTGCCTGTCAGGCCTCAAGAGACCAACACCCCCTGCCCCTCCTCAAAGGCCGACACTGCTCCTACAGGTGTCACAAATTAAATTTATTTTCCGAGAGACTTAGCCCTTGGTGTTGAGTGGTGGATGGCGCAGGAGGCTGTCTGGGGCCCGCAGGAGTTAGAACCCACCCCCAAACCGACTCCCCAAGGAGGCCCCTCGCTGGACCTCGTCTGTGGAGGTGACCCACCACCTCCAGTCGCCCTGCTACTTCTTCTTGCGGCCCCGGCGCTGGTGGCCTGCCTTCTGCCGGTCCCCGCCCTCTCTTCGGCTCTGCCAGCATGGCATGGGGGCCTCCAGCTCACTGGGACGGCCTCCCCGGTCTGGCACATTGCCCATCAGCACCTGCGGGTTGGTGAGGGTCACTGAGGCAGAGAACTAGAAGGCACTGGCACAAAGAAGCCAGCGGGCAAAGGGGTGCAAGGAAGGGTGTGGCTGCGAGGGGGTGGGCTGGGGCTTTCAAACTGGGGCCGTGGCCAGGGTCAAAGAAAGGGGAGAGTGAAGCAGAGGTGCAGGTCTCCACCCCGAGGTAGTGTATGCGCCTCAATTTCGTCTAGTCCTATTTGGGGTTTTGTGTACCATTTTCAGTAAACCTGATCGGTTTTCCTCCCAATTCTCATTTCTGTACTACCTGTGATATTACTGACTTAACAAGGTTTCCTTAAGGAAAAAACAAAAACACCCTTCTCACCTCCACCCCCGCCAAGCCATGTGAAACGGTCCCTGACTCTGCTCGGCTGGGCTTTGTCCTCTGATACACAGGCACATATATATGAGGCTGTATGGTCGGGGGAAGGGGGACTAGATACGGCATCATTTAAATGATGGTTGTTTCTGCCTCCAAAGTGGTTCCATTGGTCAACTGGAAGGCGCAGGCTGGGGAGCCAGGCACCAGAGCCCATCAAGGCCAGACCAGGATAAAAGGCTGAAAGAAAGTCTGAAGGCCAAGGTGGCTGGGTCCCAGGAGCCTACCTTGTTGATGGCACAACAGGTCCCCCGACGGGCTGCCACGCTGGTGGCTGGGACCAGGCGAGACAGGTCAGCTCGGGCAGCCAGGACATGGGCAATGGAAACTTCCGAGTCTGGGGTCAGCACCCCTCGAATTGGGGTCAGCACGGCCTTCATGGCCTCTCCTTTGGCCTGGCATGGGAGGGCGAGGGGGGGCAGCTAAGTGGTACCCAAGAGCTCCCTCCTGTCAGGTCTGTCCCATTGGAAACATCCTTCCTCCCTTGAGGTCTCCCTCCCCACGCTAAAATACGGGGCGGTGCTCTGAAGACACCCCTACCTCAGAAATGGGGCTCCTAGAATCCCATGGGGGGTGGGGGGTGGGGGGAAGCAGGTGTCCTGAGAGTCTATAAGCCTCCAACTTCACAAGTTTATACAAAAGCCTTGGCCTCAGACCATGCCACAGCGAAGTACCGGGGAGCCCTAACCTTCTGCCTGGCAACAAAGCCTCCCTCTGGGCCTCCTTCCAGCCACGGAGCCCACCCCCACCCCACCTTGGCCCGCTCACTCCAGTGGAAAGCAGAGGTTGTGAGGTCCAGCCGTCGGAGGAGGAGGCAGCGGCGGCAGCAGTACTGATCTCTCAGGCTTCGGGACAGTGACTCCAAGGCTTCCTGGGGGTGGGGGTGGGGCGCAGGCAATATCCGTTAATACTGGGAGCTGCCCTCAACCCTCAGCTCCCAGTGAAGGCATTAATGGCATTCTGGCAAACCCAGCCTTACCCATCTGGGCGCATCTAGTTGGCAGCTGAGGAGGGGCTGCATGGACGCCGGGGTCAAGGAAGGGAGCAGCTCTGAGATCTGAGGGGAGGAGTTAGAGGCTGACCAGGTCAGAACGCAGATGGGTCCCTCCACGGATCCCAGCTTCCTACTGCCTCAAGAGCACGCACTATACGGAAGCGAGAAGGAGGTCACAACTCAAACACCATCGATGGGTCTACTGCAACTCGCAGCAGCCCGAGAGCAGACTAGAATTGCTCCGTAGGGTATCTGAGGCTGTGGATTTATTTACGTTAGCAGCCAGCCTCATCTTTCTCCCAAAGAGCGTCTGGTGGGTTTGAACCGCAAATTGAAATGTAGAATGCTTTATGCCATGTGCCACCAGGGCTCCTTCAGGCAGTCACAGTTCTAGGGAAGCATTTCTGCTGGTGGGGCACTGTTTGGGGAAAGAGCCTCCACTTCAAAGAAGCTAGAGTGAGGAGACGAGCCTGGCCCCACCTTGGCATGGAACGCCTGCAGTAGCCTGCTGGCAGGGGTGCCCTGCGCGGGTCTGGACAGGCCCAGGGTTTGTAGAATAAGGATCAGTTCCCGGACCATGTCAGCTCCCTCCTCGGTTCCTTCCCCAAAGAGCTGTGCAGGGCTGGGGTCCAGTGGTTGGCGCAGGCGCAGAAGACGGGCTGCCTGGAGCTCGGAGCAGAGAAAGCCTTAGAGTTGGGAAGAATGCAAAATAGTGCCGATGACAATTAGATTTCAAATACTGCCTGATCTCTAATAGAAACTGCTGACTGGTGCCTCCAGTGGCGGTCTGGACACATTGCCACACCCGCCATATCTTATATATGCCCCTGGGTGCCCCAAAGGAAGGCTGCCATGCTACCCTTCTTCGACTTCAAAAACTTCATGCGTCCAGCCCCGCCCACTTAGGACAGGTTCAAAAGCAAGAATAAGCTCCGCCCAGTTCGGGGCTCTGACCCTGCCACCAAATTGGAACCCTACCTATCTTCTCGCTTTCCTCCACCCCTGTCCGAAGCCCTCCCCATCGCCACTCCTTGACCCCGCCCCCAAATTCAAACCGGACCCCCCTGGAACGGGCTCGCCCATTCCAAACTCCGGCCCCGCCCCTCGCCGAGCCCCGCCCCGCCCACTTCCGCCCGGCGCTCACGCAGCAGACGCAGGCAGGCGCCCGGCTCGCGCAGCCTCGCCGCGCAGGCTCCGCCCGACAGCGCGCGGTCCGGGCAGTGCAGCGCGCGCAGCTGGTCGCCCAACTGCCGCAGGAACTGCTCCTCGGCGTCCAGGGCTGCAAGGGTGCAGGAGGCGTCAGGGTGCGGCCACGGCGGCGGAGCCTGGGGTCCCGCCCCGCCGGCCCTCTCGAGCCACACGTACCGTCGCTCGCCCTCGGCGTCTCAGCGCCCTCCTCTTGCCCCCGCTGCGGGGCGCCCAGGGCCGCCAGCTCCGCCGCCAGCCGCGCGCACAGCGCCCTGAAGTCTGGGCACACAGTGCCCCGTGACGCCGCCCCCACGAAAGCCCCATACCTGCGGTGGGGCCAGGGCAGCGGGGGTGGTCAGCGAGAATCCCCCTCCGTCCCGCGCCGGAGGACAAGCCCCCACGTCCCCCGCATCCGCCAGCCACACCCCCTCACCCTAAAAGCTGCAGGTCCTGGGCCACCGCGGCCCACTCACGCGCCTCCACCTCCGCCCCCTCCATTCCAGCGTCGCCTGGTAGCCCTGCACGCGCCCCCTGCTGGCCGGCGCGAGGCCGCGCCCCCTGGTAGCGCACGGCCCCCTGCTGGCTGGCGCGAGGCTCCGCCCCCTGGTAGCTTGTGTGCGCGCGCAGCCCCGGAAGAGGGTTTGTGCTTTTACTGAAAAGGCGTTTTGCTTTTAGCATGCAGCCAGCTGTTACAGAGGCGAGAGAGGGGTCACGAAGCTCCTCCTGTCCCTAGACCCGCCCCCAATTACACTAGCCTCCAGCTGTCCTTCCTTGCAAGGGTGCGAACAGTATTCTGTTAGCATTACTTTAGGGTTTTTAAAATGTATTATTTGGTAGGTTTATATTTGGTATCTAGAAATACTCAAATATCTTTCACAGAGAAAATAATAGTCATTGCTTTTTCCCTTTACACCTTTCCGGCTTGTGAACGGTTTCCTGGGAACGCTATGAGCCCCTTTCAGGGACTGAACTCCTTGTGCCCCCCTGGGACAGAGGTTAACTATGTCTTGTGTGGGGAAAGTGCATGGCAGGCCCCTGGGTTTACTCAAGGCAGAATAATAGCTAGCATTTATCACGCGTGTACTACGGGCTTAAATATCCAGTCGTTGTGCAGAGGAGAAAACCGATTCAAAGAGGACGGAGTCACAGAGCCAAAGGTGTGTTGCTGCCAGGACTGAAGCTCAGATCTGCCTGGTTCCCAGTCCCACGTTTTTGCATATTTAAACCATGACTGCTGTTTTCATGGCTGCCAATTAACTGATCATTCCATATTCAATCTCTAACCCTAATCCAAACCCATAGAACCAGGCAATCCTGAAGAATGGACAACCAGGGATCTCAGGGTAGCACCGTGTTTCTTAAGTTTGAAAAGGCTGATCATTTCTAAGGGACCTCTGGGTGGATGGGCTCCGACCTGTCTGTTAGCAGTTGCACACACTTGCGCCACCCAAGCACGCCGGTGGATCCTCGAAAATTCTATGAGAAGTGGGGGTGGAGGGAAGGAACAGGGGTCAGATTCTCAGAGGCAGGGCCTGCTCCCTCCATGGCCCTGCCGTGCCTAACTCTAGGCATGGGGCCAGCAGGGGGCCATTAATGGACCTAAATAAAATGTTCAAAATGGTTCATTTCAAGCACTATTGTCAAACGTGAAGAAAAGGCTCCCACACTGAAAGAAATAGTCTTTGATGGTGGTCAGAGGTGGGAGGAGACGGAATCATAAATGACTAGTGAGGAGGTAGACACAGGGAAACCTGGCTCAGGGGAAAGCCCTATACAAGAGGGAGGTTCGGAAAGAATGATGGAGGCAAGAAAGGACAGTGTTGGGGGTGGGGTGTGATAGACAGAGAGGCCGTGTTGTTAGAAACACAATCCTGCAATGAGGGTAATCTACAAGTACAAGCATAGACACACAGGCTCAGCAGGTATGGAAGCGCATGAAAGTGTACAAAGTAATAATTTATGAATTATGAAGGGTTCATGAGGGAGAGGGGAGGGAGGGGGCGGGGAAAATGAGCTGATATTAAGGGTGCAAGTAGAAGGCAAATATTTTGAGAATGATGATGGCAACAAATGTATAAATGTGCTTGACACAATGGATGGATGTATGGATTGTGTTAAGAATTGTACGAGCCCTAATAAAATGATTTTTTAAAAAGTGTACTTGTGGATGTGTGTATATATATATATTTATGTATATGTGGGGGGAGATGATATTTGTACACAGGCATTTACCTTTGCTGTAAAGACATTCATGAGATGTTAGTGTGTACAGGGGGTGAAGTTATGAAAACTTCTTAGACATACCCAAACACCTCAAGGGATTGATTCATAGGGCCTGGGGACTCCGGGGACACCAAAATCAATGGGCATAATGTCATCCCCAAGACCACGTTTTACATCCCAGTGAGTGGACAGTGGGGGATGAAAAACTCCCGGTCCGGAGGAAAGAAGAGTGAGACACATGGGAACAGTTAGTCCAATGGACTCCTGGACCCCATGCTCCCGGTGGGGAAGAGAGGACTGGAAGAGAGTTCATGTGGATGGGTTCTTTAGAAACTTGGCAGGCCAGGGTTCTGGGTGGAGGGAGGCCTTCACACTTGGGAGTTAGAGATGAGTCCCAATCACATTCTCATGATTAAGAGGAATCCCCACCATATCCTCCCATCCTAGTGCGGCCTTAAAGGGACCTCTCCCAAGCACGTGGCTGATTGCTACCTGGCCGGCAGCTTGATCTCTAGGAGCAGACACGTTGCTATTGCTCTCCCTGCTCAGGGGACAGTCACTCCCCCTACCTGCCCCCAGCACTGGTGTCAGGTTACTCCTCCACTGAACCCAGGGACCTCCAGCGTTAGGACACAGCCCACCGTGTTACTACATATGTGGTTACCTGTAATTAGGGGGGCTTGCATGCCCTGAGAGTATATAAACTAATGTTTAGAATACAGTCTCTCTCTCTCTCTCTCTCTCTGCTAAAACCTGGTTCCTGCCATAGCAGAGGTAGCACCCCATTTGTCTGTCTCTTAATTTCTTCCCTTCACCACTACCAACTGCTCTGAAAGGGATCACAGTAGAAGGTCCTGTATAGAGCGTGAGACAAATGTGCAACAAAACTCAATCATAAAAATGATCAGGCTTCCCCCAGAAGAATTCACTTCAGAGGACAGCACTGAAGCTGCAGCTCAAGGAGAGTGACATGTCTGATCAGAGCACAGGAGAGCAAATGAAGGGGGAGGAAGAGAGAGAGTGGAGCACATCCTGGCCCACCAAGCCGAGGACGATATCTCTGTTCAGAGCAGCCAATCCACAGAGAAGACCATATGGCCGGCCCCACTATGAGACACGACGCCCCTCACTGACCCATAGCCCTACAGGGGACAACACTGGAGATACAGTGTGGGAACTGCGCTTGGTCTGATCCCACCACACTGAGGCTCAACACTAAAGGCGTGCAACAGAACAGCAAGGGGAACAGAGCAAGGAAGTCCTGAGGGAGTACCAAAAATAGACTTTGGAGTCAGGGTGTGGCACTCCATCAGACTCCACCAGAAAACACTCCTAAAGGTCAAGAAACAGACCTTGAACTATTTACAGACTTTTCTCTCTTTTTTGTCATTGTTTTGTTGTTGTTGTGTTTTGTTTTATTGCTTTGTTTTGCTCTGTCTTGTATTTGTGCATATTTTTATATCTGCAGGTCTATCTAGATGAGATAGGTTGGATAAACAATCTGGAAGAGAAAACAATGCATGGGAGAGGGGGAGGTGGGAGAAAGTAAGTGGTGTTAACAAACCCAGGGACAAGGGAACAACAAGTGATCCAAAATCAGTGGCAAAGAGGGTGTAAGAGGCCTGGTAAGGCTTGATCAAGGGCAATGTAACCGAGAGGAATTACTGAAACCCAAATGAAGACTGAGCATGATAGTGGGACTAGAGGAAAGTAAAAGGAAATAGAGGAAAGAACTAGGAGGCAAAGAGCATTTACAGAGGTCTAAATACAGGCATGTGCATATGTAAATATATTTATATATGAGAATGGGGGAGTAGACCTATGTGCATATATTTATAGGTTTAGTATTAAGGTAGCAGATGGACATTGGGCCTCCACTCAAGTACTCCCTCAATGCAAGAACACTTTGTTCTATTAAATTGGCATTCCATGATGCTCACCTTCCCCACATGATCGATGAAAACAAATTGGTGCATAGGCACATGTGGTGAAGAAAGCTGATGGTGCCTGGCTATCAAAAGATATAGCATCTGGGGTCTTAAAGGCTTGAACATAAACAAGCGGCCATCAAGCTCAGAAGCAACAAAGCCCACATGGAAGAAGCACACCAACCTATGTGATCACGAGGTGTCGAGGGGATCAGGTATCAGGCATCAAAGAACAAAAATCATATCATTGTGAATGAGGGGGAACGCAGATTAGGGACCCAAAGCCCATCTGTAGGTGACAGGACACCCCCTTATAGAAGGGTTGTGGGGAGGAGACAAGCCAGTCATAGTGCAGTGTAGCAATGATAAAACATGCAACTTTCCTCTAGTTCTTAAATGCTTCCTCTTTCCACCCCCCTACCCCCACCCCCTGCCGGCCATCATAATCCCAATTCTGCCTTACAAGTCTGGCTAGACCAGAGGATGTACACTGGTACAGATAGGAACTGGGAACACAGGGAATCCAGGACAGATGATCCCTTCAGGACCAGTGGTGAGAGTGGAAATGCCGGGACGGTGGAGGGAAGGTGGGGTAGAAAGCAGGAACCGGTGACAAGGATCTACATATAACCTCCTCCCTGGGTGACATACAACAGAAAAGTGGGTGAAGGGAGATGTTGGACAGTGTGAGACATGACAAAATAATAATATTTTATAAATTATCAAGGGTTCATGAGGGAAGAGGTGGTGGGGAGGAAGGGGAAAAATGAGGAGCTGATACCAAGGGCTAAAGTATAAAACAAATATTTTGAGAATGACGATGGCAACAAATGTACAAATGTGCTTGACACAATGGATGTATGGATGGATTGTGATAAGAGTTGTATGAGCCCCCAATAAAATGATTTTTAAAAAAAGGATGAAGATTGGGCTCTTGAAATGTATGATGAGTGAATTGTATGTTGGTGAAACTGCTAAAAATAAATGAATTATTAAATTTTTAAAACATGATCAGGCTTATGAGTAGGATAGAGATTGATTGAACCTAGAAGACTATAGCCCTTCATCATCCATCATATCTGGAAATTAATTCACTCCGTGACTCAGCTTTCAAACAACAGATGGGTCCATAAGGGGAACTGTAACACCAAGTACATTCTAAGGTACACACACCTAAAACTCATCAGCCATTTGAGATCAAAAGGGCAGCATTTCCCCAAGGGCAAAGTTCAGAAAGGTCAGAAAAGAAGGAAGAATGAAAACACAGGAAGAAGCACACCAGCCAGTGTGATCACGAGGTTTCAGGCTTCGGAAAACCCAAAACAAACAACCATTTCGATGCGAGTG